AACTGCGTGGCCGATTCTGAATGTCTCAGCTCCGCTCGACTCTGTCACCGATCAGCAGGTGTCGGTGGAAAGAAGACGGCCTGTGACGCTCCATGTTCAAGAGGCCGAGGGTTGGGAACTCCCATATAGGTTCTCCACTTGGACCAAGCTTGTCCGCGTGACTGCCTATATGAATCGCTTTATTCATCGTGTAAAAGAAAAGAGCGCGTCTCGCTCCCAACAATCCCCCTTTCTGAACGCCGATGAGTTTAGGAGGGCGGAACTCTTCTGGTTGCGCTATCTGCAACAGAGATTCTTCGAACGGGAAACGCGCTCACTAAAGAATAACGGCACCATACCGCATTCGAGCTCGTTGAGCAGATTGAGTCCTTTTCTAGGAGAGGACTCTTTACTCCGTCTTGGCGGGCGGTTGACGAATTCCGCGCTCAGCTATGACGAGCAACATCCTATAATAATTCCGAAACATCACTTATCCGATCTCTTAATTGATCGCGCTCATAAATCCACGCTCCACGGGGGAACACAGCTAGTACTCCGTGTGCTGCGTCAGCGATACTGGATCATTGGAGGCCGCAGCTCAGTAAAGGCGCACATTCGAAAATGTGTAGTCTGCACTCGTCAAGCGGCTAAATTGTCTTCTCAGTTCATGGGCGACCTTCCAGCCGCTCGTGTCACCCCTTCGGCGCCTTTTACTCATTGTGGGGTTGATTACGCCGGCCCACTCCACGTAATTTCATTCGTCGGCAGAGGGCAAAAGGCCAGAAAGGTATATATCGCTCTGTTTGTTTGTCTTGCTACAAGGGCGATTCACCTCGAATTAGTGGAAGATTACTCCACGCCCGGCTTTCTTGCAGCCTATCAGAGGTTCGCTAGCCGAAGAGGTCTGCCGCGTCACATGTATAGCGACAACGGCACAAATTTTCATGGAGCCAACCACGAACTCCATCGACACTTTCAATCCTTATCGAAGGATGCTGAATTGCGAAACGCGCTCGCAGGCGACGGAGTGAACTGGCATTTCATTCCCTCCGCCGCTCCACATTTCGGCGGCCTTTGGGAGGCCGGAGTCAAGAGCCTTAAAACGCATCTGAGGCGCGCTGTTGGTTCCCACACACTTTCGAGGGCTGAACTCGCGACGCTTCTATGTAAAATAGAAGCGTGCCTTAACTCGCGACCAATCGCTCCGCTTAGTGACGACCCGGGTGACTTGTCGGCGCTCACCCCGGGTCACTTTCTGATTGGACGGCCCCTCGTAGCCGTTCCGGAGGAATCGGTACTCGCGATCGACCCGCGTAGGCTCTCGCGATGGCAACTAGTCCGTGCCATGCAGGAAACCGTGTGGCGTGCCTGGTCACAGGATTATTTACATTCGCTTCAACAGCGAAACAAGTGGTGCAAGCAGTCTCCTAACTTCGCAATAGGCGAATTAGTATTAGTTAAAAGTCCCGTGCTCCCTCCGAGCAAATGGGAGCTTGCCCGAGTACAGCAGATCCATCCTGGATCTGATGGACTCGTTCGAGTTGTGACCATACGCACCGCACGGTCCACATTGAAACGACCTATTGCGCAATTATGCCGACTGCCAATACGTGATAACTCTAACGCGTCCGCAACGGATAAAGCCGCTAACTTGTAAGAGTTATGTAATCTTCGAGACGACTTTCTCAGCGCGAGTCGTCTTCACCTGTATGTTTTGTAATCATCTTCCTCGACGATTCGTTCCCGCTTCGTTTAAATTTATTTCGCATTCGTTCGCATACGAGGCGGGCGGTATGTTGAAGATTCGTTCTTCGGATCGAATCCTCGAGGACGATCGAATTTTCTAGAATGTTTTTTGTTAAATTCCTTAGTGTTTACGCCAAGGAAACACGTGAAACCAACGTGTACACTCGCCGCTAATTGGCGTGTGTACATCGCCTGATTTTCCGATGGTCCAATCGAGGACCCCGATCGGCTGCCGCCCTACGCGAGCTCCGAAATTCGCGCAGCCCTCGAGTCAGTCCTCGAGAGAGCGAGCGCCGAGAAACATAAGTCTAGGTACGCGACGAACTTGTAGAAAGTGAATAAACTAAATTAAACCGTTTCAAAACGCGTACAATTATTTGATCACGTTAACCCGGCATCCTACAACGTTAAATCTTATACAATTGTTATATATATAGCAGAGAAAAGTATAGAATCGAAGGGATCTGAATAGCTCAGTTGGAAGAGCAGTCGCCCGGCAAGCGAAAGGTCTCGGGTTCGATTCCCGATTCAGCGACTTTCAGATCTATATTTTTCTCGCATTTATTTCCTTAAAGGGAACAGAGGATGTATGGAATTAAATCTCTTGTAGAGATTATTCCATTTTTAAATCTTGGCCGTGTCCAAGTAAAATTTAGTGCCTTGTGCACAGGTTTTTAATCCTAACGAAAAAATTTAGTTTCGTTGGGATAACGCAGTCATCCGTTGACAGAAAGAGAGAAAGAGAGAGAAAAATCACATATATGTATTTAGCTAAATATTGTTCGAAGTCTCTGTTATATCTTTCTCTGTTATCAATTATTAATTTAGTTACAAATTAATATTAAATATATAAAATATATAAATTAATAATTTGTTTGAGATGCAAAATAAATCTGATCGTCTGTTAATTACTTCGGCAGTAAAACGTTATTAGGATTTTCAATTTATACAAAATTCGATCTCGAAAATAGTTATTTGGTAAATTCTGGAATCATCGATCAGTAATAATAAAGTCACGTTTGTTTTGTATAATAGAATAAAAAGAAGTCGTAAATTTACAGCTGTCACATAAAAAACGCTCAAATATACAAACAAGTAACGGTGTCGCAACCGTTCCGCCGAATAATTACATGCTATTGAGCATGCGCTACTTTAAAAATCACGCAAATTATTGGCGCTTCACGCGAAGGTGGGCTCCGCTCCAAAATTATAAAAGAGGAGCTCACCCCGGCGTAGGTGCCTTATCGCTTTCCGCCGTGTACGCGTAAGTCAAAACCGCCTTAAAAAAACCGCAGAACATTTATATCGACAACCGCCGCTCTTTCTTTTGATTTGATTTCTCCGCTGAAACTAATTAAACTTTATGTTAATTTTGTGCGTGTAATTGTTAAATATTGTACATTATATTTTTAGTAAAGATTCGTATATTAAAAGTTTCTTTATACTACAAGTGACTCATCCTTTGTCGTGTCGCGCGATTCCTCACGCAGCGCGTTCGCGAACATATTTCTGGTCCTTCGAGCCGGATCTTCTCGCCGGCACCCGCAAGTTTGTGAACGTGACTTCGTGTAGTTCGTGGGTGCTCTTAGTTCACCATGGATGTGAACACGTTGATCGACTGTCAACGTGAGATCCAGGTCCGCATTTCACGTTCCGTGGAATATTTGAAGAAGCTGGGCACCACCAACATCACCGCCAGTGCCGTATCCACACGCACCAGAATCTTAGATCAGCTGTGGACGAAATTCGAGACACAGCATGATCTCATTCGAGCGGCTCTGAAAGAGAAATTTTGCGAGAGCGATTACTACAAGTCGGAGTTACATGGCGATACGGAAAATCTGTACGTTGCACAACGCAGTACTTTAGATAGTTATACCGAACATTTTCGGAAGCCGAACGTGTCTCCATCCGTCGACGTCGCATCAAAGTCTTCGCTGCCGCGCATCAAGTTGCCGCCGTTCTCTGGCGCCTACGCTGACTGGCCATCCTTTCGCGATCTCTTCCTGTCCGTCGTGAGCAGCAATTCAATCTCGAACATTGAGCGCCTTCATCACCTCCGCTCGTGTCTGACAGGTCCGGCTGAAAAGTTGATAAAGTCACTACCTGTCACGAGTGACAATTACGATCGCGCTTGGGCAATCTTGGACAAGCACTACAATAACAAAAGAGAGTTGATCCGCTCCAACTTTGCCACGTTTACCGCCGTGCCAAAGATGAAGGGAGATACCGCCGAGGAGCTGAGCCGCATTCACAACGCTGTCACCGCCGCAGTCAACGCACAGGAGAGCATCGGACGTCCTATCAACTCGCACGGGATGGATCTGTTCAACCACATGGTCGTCGAATTGTTCGACGCACGCACTCGTCTCGAATGGGAGTCAACCACTTCAGACCCCACCGAACCACCACGGAACGAGGCACTTCTCGACTTCATTAGTCGACGGATCTTGACACTCAACGCCGCACGACCGAGGAGTGTCACAAAAGGATCTGGAGAGACATCACGATTCGTCAAAGCGCACGTCACGAAGCACCAAGGCACAGATTCACCTCAGTGTGTACTGTGCCGTGAAAACCATACACTGATGACGTGCAAGGGCTTCAAGGCCAAGACCGCGGTTGAGCGGAAAACGTTCGTGGAGGCCAACCGACTGTGCTTCAACTGCCTAGGCAATCATTTCCTAGCACGGTGTCAGTCAAAAAGGAACTGCCTCACGTGCAACGCGCGACACCACACCATGCTGCACGGGGCAGCCACATCAACACCATCTGCTGAGGCCACTTCACTTGCCACCACACTGGCCACTGCACGGCAAACTGAAACACACAAGGCCGTCCTTCTCGCAACCGCTCGCGTCAAGATCGCTGATCGCTACGGATCACCACACGAGGTTCGAGTCTTGATAGACCAGTGCTCCGAGGTGTCCATCATCTCTGAGGCACTGGCTCAGCGTCTTCGGCTGCCTCGAGCTTCAACAGATCTGTCCATCTTTGGCATCGGAGGGACTCGCTCTGGATCAGCGCGTGGCAAGGTCACGCTAGACATCACATCTGACGTGACCAATGTCGAGCTCCGCGTGGTTGCTTTTGTGCTGCCTCGCATCTCATTGCAGCAAGGCACCTCTCAACGCGAAGATCGTAGCTGGCCTCACATCCAAGGACTTCGACTGGCCGACCCGCGCTTCCTGGACGACGATCCTGCGGAGTTACTTCTTGGAGCAGAAGTTTACGCATTGATCCTCGAGGAAGGTCTTCGCAAGGGCGGATCACGGATGCCGATCGCCCAACAGACGAGCTTAGGATGGATCCTGTCCGGGGGCTACGATGCAGCAGCAACCGAAGGACATCGCAGCACGTTCCAGTGCACCGCAGACCACGACCTCGCTGACATGGTTCGACGCTTCTGGGAGCAGGAACGCGAGCCAGTGGCTGGGACACCGCTTACCGCCGATGAAGCCAGATGCGAGGACATCTACGTGCGCACGGTCACACGCACGTCCAGTGGAAGATACATGGTGAGGCTGCCATTTACTTCACCGCCGCCGACATCGCTCAGCGAGACTCGTCGACCTGCTGAACGCCTACTGGATGCCATGGAGCGGAAAGGAGCACGAGATCGTCGTTTCGGTGACCTCTATCTAGACTTCATGGAGGAATACGAGAACCTACAACATATGGAGAAGGTTAGCACAACTACAACAACTGGCAGCCCCAGGTGTTACTTACCGCATCACGGGGTCCTCAAGGAGTCAAGCACGACCACGAAGCTCAGGGTCGTGTTCAACGGCTCCCAGCGCACACGGTCCGGAGAGTCGCTGAACGCACACCTCCTCACTGGAGCCAATCTCTTGCCAGCACTCGCTGACGTCCTACTTCGTTGGCGTTGGCATCGGTACGTGCTCGTCACGGACATCGAGAAAATGTACCGACAAATCCTCGTGCATCCGGAGGACTGTCGCCTGCAAACTATCCTGTGGCGCCACAACAGCTCTGACGACGTCCACGAGTACGAGCTGAGGACCGTGACCTATGGGCTAGCGTGTGCACCCTTCCTCGCCATCAGGACTCTTCATCAACTCGCAGCAGACGAAGAGGCACGATATCCACGCGGAGTCAAGGCACTGCGACACGACTGCTACGTCGACGACGTGGTCACCGGCGCCGATAGCTTGGAAGATGCTATCGACCTTCAGCAGGAACTACGGAGTCTTTGCACGGCGGGCGGATTTCCTTTGAGAAAGTGGGCCGCCAACGATCCTCAGGTGCTCACAGGAATTCCACCAGAACATCAGCTGCAACGTGGGCCGCACTCATGGGAAGAAGAGAGTCACGCTACCCTGGGCCTCCGATGGCATCCTCAAGGCGATTGGTTCTCCTTCTCAATTCGTCCACGTCCAGTCACTGATCTCACAAAGCGACGAGTTCTAGCCGAAACGGCTCGGCTCTTTGATCCGATGGGTTGGCTCGCGCCTGTCGTCATCAGAGCCAAAATTCTGATCCAGACGACGTGGCTTCAACGGCTGGATTGGGACTCTCCGCTGCCTGATCAGGACGCACACCGCTGGAGGCAGTTGTTGGATCAGCTTCCTCTATTGGATAACATCCGTGTAACTCGCTGGCTCAACACCGGAGACGACCATTCGCAACTGCAGCTCCATGGGTTTGCCGACGCTTCAGAGCGAGGATACGCCGCCGTGGTGTACATCCGCAACGCTGCAACAGAAAAAACGTCAATCAACCTATTGATGGCAAAATCGAAGGTCGCGCCTGTCAAGCAGGTGTCGTTACCTCGCTTGGAACTCTGTGCAGCAGCTCTACTTACCACGCTCATGCTCCACGTGCGCGCTACTCTCGGTTTGACAACGACGCCGGTGCATCTGTGGTCAGATTCAAGGGTCACACTTCATTGGATCCGCGGACACAGCACCCGTTGGAAAACCTTCGTCGCCAACCGAGTATCTCAGATCCAGACCCTGCTTCCAGACGCTCAATGGAGACACGTCGCTGGACGAGAGAATCCTGCAGATTGCGCATCGCGCGGTGTTACTCCTGCTGAATTAATCAATCATGAGTTGTGGTGGACAGGACCTACCTGGCTCTCAGGAGACGAGACTGCATGGCCGGGTTCAAACATCGACGTCCCAGAGGATGACCTCCCGGAGCAGCGAGCCACCAGTCTGGTAATCAAGGCACCGGTCTCGGCAGAACCTGACCTCCTCCTCCGGTTTCCAACGCTGCACAGGCTGCTGCGGGTTACGGCATGGTGTCGGCGATGGCTCAATCAGGCGAGACGTGACGCCATACCTGGCCGTCCATTGCATCCGGACGAGCTGGACGTCGCCTTATTTCGATGGCTGCGAGTGGTGCAGGCGCTCCACTTTCCTACGGACGTAGCTGCGGCTTCTGCTGGACGCACTAGCCCACCACGAAGCCACCTAGCGATGTTGAGTCCGGTCCTCGATGATCAAGGCGTGCTGCGCGTCGGAGGACGTCTCAAACATGCTCAGCTACCACTCGACGAGAAACATCCAATGATCATCCCGGCGGCATCATGGTTGACTCGGCTGGTGATCGATTCCTGCCACCGACGGACGCTGCACGGAGGTGTGCAACTGACTCTCGGCCTGCTCCGCCTGCGCTTCTGGGTGCCTCGAGGAAGGACCACCGTCAAACAGCAGCTACACCGATGCATAACCTGCACTCGATGGCGCGCCGCCACACCACAGCCTCCGATGGGTAACCTTCCTCGGGAGCGAGTAACGCCAACTCGACCGTTCCTCAGCACCGGCTTGGACTACGCGGGACCAATCCTCCTCCGGACCAGCAAGGGGCGTGGACACCGTGCGCACAAGGGGTACATCGCAGTCTTCGTCTGCTTCTGGTCAAAGGCCGTTCACTTAGAAGTCGTCTCAGACTACACCTCGGAGGCCTTCATCGCCGCTCTGCGCCGCTTCGTCTCCCGCAGGGGCCTGTGTGCTGAGATCTACAGCGACTGTGGCACGACTTTCATCGGAGCAGATCGGACGCTGCGAGGTCTCTTCAACGCAGCGACAGCCGAAGGTCAAAGTGTCATCCTTGCCGCCACCGCTCAAGGAATCCGCTGGCACTTCAACCCGCCAGCGGCCCCGCATTTTGGTGGTTTATGGGAGGCCGCCGTAAAGTCGACCAAGTTCCACCTCCGTCGGGTGATCGGCGCGACCACCCTCACGTTCGAGGAGTTGAGCACACTCCTTGCACAAATTGAAGCCTGTCTTAACTCACGTCCGTTGCAGGCACTCTCAGATGATCCAGAGGACGTCTCGGCGCTGACCCCCGGTCACTTCCTCATCGGGACACCGCTCCTCGCCTTGTCAGAACCGTCATTGACAGAGCAGACGGTGTCCACCTTGTCACGTTGGCGTCATCTGCAGCGGATGAGGGATCACTTCTGGCAGCGATGGTCATCCGAATACATGCACGGACTCGCCCCACGCACCAAGTGGCTCAAGGATGCACCTGCACCCCACGTCGGCGATCTCTGCCTCGTTCGCTCCGAGATCACCCCCCCGAACCGATGGCCCCTCGCTCGCATATCGCGTTTGCACCCCGGGGACGATGGAGTTACACGCGTAGTGACGATCCGAACGGCCACGTCCGAGCTCGTGCGCCCACTCGTCAAGCTCGTGTTTCTTCCGGGCGTGAACGACGTTCCTACACCGCACGTTGACACATAGCATCACTCACTACACGATCATCACGTCATGCACCATATCAACTGTCACACTTCACTCATTTCACTCATCACCTCACTATAACACTTGTCTCGTTTTCACCACTCACTGCATCGTTCACTCGCCGTTCACATCTGCCACATGCTTTCGCCGTTTCAGCTGATCGATTCGCAACACGTGATTACCACGTGTTTTCGTCGACTCAGCTGATCGACTCACAACACGCGATCATCACGTGAATTTCGCCGCGCCGACACGAGCCCGCCCCACCATCGATCGCTATCGGAATGTGATCCGCGCCGGAAACATCATCAACCTTTTGTCACGTTGCGCCAAGGCGGGCGGGATGTTTGAGATGCAAAATAAATCTTATCGTCTGTTAATTACTTCGGCAGTAAAACGTTATTAGGATTTTCAATTTATACAAAATTCGATCTCGAAAATAGTTATTTGGTAAATTCTGGAATCATCGATCAGTAATAATAAAGTCACGTTTGTTTTGTATAATAGAATAAAAAGAAGTCGTAAATTTACAGCTGTCACATAAAAAACGCTCAAATATACAAACAAGTAACGGTGTCGCAACCGTTCCGCCGAATAATTACATGCTATTGAGCATGCGCTACTTTAAAAATCACGCAAATTATTGGCGCTTCACGCGAAGGTGGGCTCCGCTCCAAAAATTATAAAAGAGGAGCTCACCCCGGCGTAGGTGCCTTATCGCTTTCCGCCGTGTACGCGTAAGTCAAAACCGCCTTAAAAAAACCGCAGAACATTTATATCGACAACCGCCGCTCTTTCTTTTGATTTGATTTCTCCGCTGAAACTAATTAAACTTTATGTTAATTTTGTGCGTGTAATTGTTAAATATTGTACATTATATTTTAGTAAAGATTCGTATATTAAAAGTTTCGTTATACTACAAGTGACTCATCCTTTGTCGTGTCGCGCGATTCCTCACGCAGCGCGTTCGCGAACAAATTGATAACGCGAGATTTATGACAGAGACTTCAAACAATATTTAGCTAAAAGATACAAGCTAAAAGATTATAATTTTTTTTTTTAAATCGTATATAGATTTTTTATCTAGTATACTTTTTTGTATTTTAGACTTTATTTTCATAACGGCGCGACGCACATTGAGCTATACTACTGTTTTTGTATGTTGGATCTATATGCTTTTCCTTTATCGAAATATGCTTCGTTCGCTTTCTCATTCTGCATCGACAGCATTTCGAAACCATGTTTCTCCCTTGATATAATCAGTGTACTTTCGCAATGGTAGTTCTCTGGTTGTTTCCCTAACCACTGAACTTTGCTATCTAAATTATATATATACGACTAAGCTGATATGTAAACCCAGCTTGACGGATATTTCTATTGTCACTACTATCATATTATTTAATATATACTACGATTTTTTCACGTTATTTAATACACAATTTTTTACACACAATTAACACACGTTATTTAACAAACAATAACAAAACGTTATTTATCATAATTTTGCGTCATTGTTTCTTCTAAATTAAACAAATCATGGCAATAAAATATAAATGAAGATTTATAACGTAAAATATTTATTTGTCATTGTTATATTATTAAACTCTGTACGTTATGATTTTTAAAATCGCGTAAAAATGCAAATATAGAAAATTAACTATGAAATTAGAAGAATTACGATTGTGGCTAGATAATAATAATATAGTAACGATGCTTAGTTTGAAAATTTAGCACGTATGTTACGAGTAGCCATAATTATCTGTGAATGGAAGGTCGCTATAATTTCGATTTAAACTCCATAATACTGGAAATTAATCCGCTTCCACCTCCGCGTGCATTTCTCCGGAGAGTTCGGGGAAACTAATTAACGCAGAAAACAATTACCTGCCACCAACACTGCCGGTGCATCCACTAATATAAATCGGGGACGAATGTGGAAGCAGCTGCCGCCGCGTTTTATTGTTCAGCGCATCCAACTCGAAAATCTCCATTCAGTCAATTCGAACCCCGACATACCATATTTACGATGATGTAACATTAATGTATCTCAGTACACGGAGTCGGCGACAAATTTGTTTCTGTAAATTATTTATATCCTAGTGCGAATTCATCAAGTTCTATATAATACTAAGGGAAATGTGCGTGAAACCTAACATTTAAAAGACGTCATCGTCTACGATAATTTATGGATGTAATTCGAGAACGACAAGGAAACGTGAGATCGAAATAAAATGGGAAATGGATGCGATTGACATTATTGTCAGAGACGATCGAGAAACGTGCAGTACTTGAGACGAATTATTGAGGAAACTCGAAAGGAAACGTAATAGAAAAAGAGAGAGAGAGAGAAAGAGAAAAGGAGAGTTTTTGCGTAGAGGAAAAAATAGGGAAAACTGAAGGTCTCTTTTAGTAATTGTCGAAGGTAGCGATCTAGATAATTTCCGAGAATAGAAACGAGATATAATGAAGTAAAGCTCCTTTTGGACGGATGTGCTAATGAGCTAGATAAGAGGAAGAGAAAGAGAAGTAAGACAAAGTGACTGACAGCAAATAAAGACAGTTGCATGCTGGACTAAACGGATCATAACTTCAAAGGACCTTGAAAGAAAATCCTTTGCCAACGATTCTTATATTATTTTCTAAATTAATAAGACTGAGACATTATCTATCTTTTACAATTTGTTGTTTGGGTAAAGAAATTCTTAACGAAGAGATATTTAAATAATAATATATATAAATAAATTATTAAAGTTATCAAGAATTTTATAATTTTTCTCTTTCTTATTTATTTGTCGAATATTAATTAAGGAGTAAGTTTATTGTTTGAATATAAAATGTATATTATTTTAAACGCGAGCAATAGATGATCTATGCTTTATGAGTCTATATATATCTTATTCATACGTTGAGTATCATTTTTATTTGGAAAAGAATTCGTTAAATCGATCGTCGGACAAGAATACGATACGGATGATTCTTCATTGAGTATAATTGACGCTGCATCGTTTTATAAGTGGTTTTGAGGACGCTTGAAAAATATCCAACTGTCCCCATATTTCTTCGGTCACGAGGACAGTCACGAGGATTTTCTCGAGGTCGTCACAGTCGCGAATCACGAATATCCCGCGAACGTCGTCCGCGATGTTCTATGATTCAACGTATAAGGTTGAATGCACAAAGAAAGGAGGATAAATGTCGCGATTATCGGTGCGTAAGGGAAGCGTAAAGACCCACAATACGTAGACGCAGGGGTAAGAAAAAGCATGGGCAGTTTCGTGAATGGCGTGGGAGTTCATAAAGGTGTCGTTCGCGTTCTGTGTGGTCGCGCGTTTAAGAACGATGACAATGAATGCCGGCCAATAAATTAGGACGCCACGAAGAATGAACACGCTCTCGATACACGCGGGAAAACAGCGTGACGAGCAGCGGTGAGTGAAAAGCTACTCGGTTTTCCGGACTAAAGAGAAGCTTCTGCGGTGCTGATGAATAGAGCGACATAGAGCGACAATAGAGTGACCGCGATATTATTATACGTGGGACGGCTCTCGAGAGCTAAGGAAAAGATCTCGACGCGCGAGATCGGGCCCGTTTTCGGGATTAAAGAGCGGCGATAATTCACGAACCACTTGGAGGAAGCGTAAAATCGAGATTTTTTCGCACGATTCGACGTGAATAAAATTGAAAATATATAAAGACGCATCTTGCAGCGTATCTTAATTAAAGAGAATTTTCGTGTTAGAAATATTTCTTGCTCCTCCATCTAAAACTATTATCAACGACGATGTGTTTTCTTCTTTAAATTTCGTGATTAATTTTTAGTCTGATATTAAAGCTTCGCGAGCTTCCTCGTTTTTCGCATTAATGGCCATTAATTCGCATGCACTAATTGTCGCCAACAGCGAAGGAATAAATAAATCAGCGAACGCGTATTCGCCACAGGTAGTGACGATCGTTTAGGGTGGTCCGTCGATTCCTCGTATTGTCATATCGAGAACCGCAACCGAACTTGCTTCGTATCCGCAAACGAAAGATAGGGGAAAAAAAGCCGTAATATCATCATTATATTACGTCACACAGATGCGCGGATCGGGGGATCTCGAGACCAGCGTTTTTATATTGCGGTTACGGCATCATTGTGCGTCCTGGTGTTCACAAAAGGTCCTTGGAGGACTCCCGTCGAGAGAAGGTCTACGGCATAGCGGGGTTGCTGATTGGCTGATTCCCCTGTCAACAGCTATGGTAATCTGTACGCATTTCCTGCATATCTTCCCTTTCCGATCCCTAATCGTCACCTGCCGCCGACTCCGCAAACGAGACGTTTTTGATGAATTAAAAGAATATATATCGCATAAATTTCAAGAGCATCACTAAAATTTTTGTACAATGTACTACCATAAATAAATTATATAAAAGTTCGAATACATATATAAAAATTGTTTCAAGAAGAGGAAGAAATTTTTATTCAAATTTAATTTAATTATTTCTTCGTACTGTCGAAAATATTAAATGATTTACAAAGTACAGATACAGCTAGACTAGAAAATAAAAATAATCTCTATATATAGAGATCAGAGATTTAAATATTTTAATTCATTCTGAATATTGTTATATATATTGACAATGGCGAAATATCGAATTTAATATCGAACTGGCATAATGGTCGTCATAATATTAAAAGTGAATATGTATCAATTTGTCTGGTTTTTCGTATAAAATTTTGGAAAAAAATTGCAGTAGTAGTTAAGTCTGACGAAAAAGAATCGCGGACAATCAACTTTTCCTTCAATCGAAAAAACGAGGGAAGATGTTGGCAAATCATGCTGGAACCACTAATAGTTTTGACGGTGCTGAATTGCATTTTAATGTTCAGTTCCACAGTCACGACCTGCACATTGTTGTAACAATCTATTTTGACTTATTTTCCGATTTTAATTTAAAACAATTAAAATAATAATAAAATTCTCTGTATTATGTAAGTAATAATTATGCTATCGCACTAA